TGCGGGTGTTGCTCGAGGCTGGAGCTGACCAGAACGCAGCAAGGCAAAAAAAACAGAATGCTATTTGGGCAATAGTTTGGGCAATGTATTCACAACAGTAATTTGCTTTTGTTTGGTGTTGACGGCGGGCGGTTTGGTCTCAGTCAAACTGAGACGGGGCGGTGAGGCGGTGACGGGGCCCCAAGTCGGGTGGAGAGAAGTTTTTGATTGTCATGAGGGAGATTCTTCACATGTTAGTAACAGGTGCCACGCTAGTAGTAACAGGTGCCTTACTAGTAGTAACAAAAAGCTAATATTGTTTGCATTTGTCATGCCAGCAGATGTATTAGCAGGTGATTCGAGTGAGATTCCCACAAACTGCCACGACCTTGATGGACAGGTGGCATGATTAGCTACATAGTCTTGAAGTCCCTTAGCACCAACACGTGATGTTTGTGGCAGGGGCTGCGGCAAGCACTCAAGTCCCTGCCATCTTTCAAAACCTGAGCACTCAGGGGCACCAGGCACACCGACCGGCGCCGACGGACCCACGACCGCGACCGGCCGGTTTGGCCCCGACCGGTTCGGAGTCCTGGCGGCCAATGAAGCTTCTGGGCTCGGAGTCCTGGGAGAAGACGGAGCGGCTTCGGGACGGGAAGATGGACACGTATTTCGTGGGGAGTAAATGTTAACTTTCTATAAATGGTCTAAACATGTCTTAGATATGATATATAGGAGACAACCATGCATGGACTTCTATATGGGGATATCAATGAGTTGTTCATGTTTGTGCATCATTTGTCAAGATCCAAGAGAGCACCCAGATCGGGTGGGGTTGCACACTGATCCACAAAAAACACTCCTTAGAATTCCTGCGCGTAAGAAGTGGTCGGTGGTCAAAAAGAACATACACCCACTTACCAAATTTGGCTGATTGTTCATGTGAACAAATAAACACTCGTTTCAAATTCTATGGGTTCCTCATGGCATCTCTCATTCTCAAGAAATATGTTGTGGTTTGATTTTGCGTGTCCAACCGTTTTTTTTGCTTTACACCTGAAACGAGCTAGCAGCTATTAGGTGGAGGCCATTATTACTAGGAACAAGAAGCTACTAGCAGCTAGAAACTTCCTTGGGAATCGTTTCACCTGTAACAATAAAGCTCTTTAGTAACGTACGTTTGCACTTTAATTTGTTTGTTCGAAGACTTTCCAGGCTTTGAGTGTTATCCCACCGGAGGGGAGGAGTTTCGAGGCCGGTCAGATGCGAATCCTTTGGATCGTAAGGGGCAGACCCTCATATGGATGGTTCTGGGTCTTAAATCTCTAGGTTTGGAGGGACCAATGGACCGCCGCCATATTGGAATGCCTGTTTTGAAGGATCAACAGGAACTCTTCACCCTGTTTCCCACTCAGTCATTTTGCTGTGCCAAGACCATAGGGTACGGTGTATTGGTGATTCCTAGCATATATATATATATATATAGTTGGTAGCTGTTTTCGCCTCTTTTGGGGGGCATTTGACTGGAATGGGAATGAACAAATTTCCACACGTTTGGAGGGAGTCTCACTTCAGTTAGAATTTTGGGACTTTTGCAAAGGAGATCCAAGCTACATACTGTACTGCCACTCTACGCAATACCAACAGGTGTAGGCAAAACACCTTCTCAGGATCATGGGGAGCCAAACCTTACGCGGACTCTCCGAATCTTTATGGCACCTGGTCCCATGTGTGTTATGCCAGTCCCATGGACGCGTCGGTGTTGGAAGGTCGCCCAGGTCGCCGCTCCCCCCAGGCCTCGGTTTGCTCACAGCACTCCGTACTCCGGGGGCGGCGGGGGGTCTCAGTACTCCCTGGTTTGCGACACCCGAAGGACCACAGTCGTTGGTTTGTTGTTGGACCACAGCGGTGGGATGCGGTGGGTGGAGAACCCAAGAACCAGAATCATACTTCATGCAGGAAGAGAGTGTTGGTAACAGTTTCTCTCCAAAACTAAGTTATAGCATGTTAAGTTATATATCATTGTAACACTCTAAATTTGTGGTGGAAACTCCTTTGCCGGAATTCCACTGTGATCCCCTGCAGGGTTCTAAGGGCAAAGAGTTAAAGGTCATGTCTTTGCAGGCTTGTTACCAACTTTTGTCCTGTCTCTGTATGACATGGTTGTCGGCGAGTCGGCGGTGGTTTTCATTCTTCATCTATACATGAGCACAGTTGGCTAACAAGAAAGTTGCAGTGTTTTTGCGGCTATTATGTTGCCCTGTTCTTTGTTGGGGTGTGTAAAGTACTATACCCAGAATTCGAGAGTAATCGGCAAGCTATGTTGGGCTACAAGGTAGCCTTGGCCTACTTGACTGGTTTGGTATGGTTTGGTGGATGGATAGGACCTATACTGTATATGAAAGGGCACAGGTGACTGTGTCACCATCGTCTAGTCTAGTGGTCTTCAAGACAAGGTATCGAATGTGTTTTTCCAGCGTGGAATCCTCGCGGAAGATTCCGAAAAGCTTCGAAAAGCTTCGGTTCTGAATGACCGAAAGCTTCGATCATGATATCCGATCCATTCAACATCATGCAACTAAAAAGTTGTCAAAGAAGTTCTGAACACGATATGTGTTCGAACATGTTTCTTTTTGATCCGTTCAACGATATCCATCGAGACACGAAGGTCCGTTCAACGAGACACGAAGGCGGATGGATGGACACGTGATTGGGGGTCGGAGAAAGGTCCAAGTCCAACGAGGGGGTATTCAGCTCGTACTGTCGGGGTGAAGACTTGTGTATCAGGAGATCTTTCATGACCTGTTTGTCCACTTTGCCGTGGATGTTTCCACATGTTTCGCTCCAAAAGGCAATATGCAAGAGCCGATGCCTTTCCTCGATTCAAGGTGAGCTTGCAGCATGTCCCGCAGACCGGGAATGACTTCTTGAGGAGACCAGCAGGCGCAAGGCGCTCGGAGATGAGGCGATCAGCCCCCGAAGTTGAAGGAGATCGCCGTATCTGGCCAAGCGTTTGGAAGACTCCATGTTGGCTTTTATGCATGGTAAATGGAGTATTAGAATGGATTTAGGGGATGTTTTGTGGCTTGAAGCGACAGAGATGGGAGAACATACTGTCCAGTTCTCTCCTACGTTGTACTTGGTATCAATGGGTTCATTGGCAGGCCCTATCATATGTGATGCCACGTCGCTCTTGTTTGACAAAGGCTTGCCAAACGCCTTTGTTGGGTAAAACAACATCAAACATATGTTGATTGTTGGACATTCCAAGACATGGCTGGTTCTCATACGAATACATGGTTTCTCACTTAACTCATCACTTCTGCTTCGTTCACTTGACTTTCCAGACCCAAAGCGTGCCGCAAAGAAGCCCAAAGATAGGGTGTGTCCCAGTAAGCTAGTAACAGTCGGCAAAGGGGACCATCACTATTCTTGAGGAAGGCCTGCAACCTGACCATCTTTCATGGGATACCCAACCCATAGATAGTGCCGTGCATTAACACCAAATGAATGGTTCTGGTGCATGTTTGCTAGGGAATGGTCACCGCTGTGACAACGCACCGTATCGGTTCAACAGGTAGGTCATGTCGTGACCGGTCACCGGCGACGTTTCTCGCTGCACGGCCGAAGAAACGCAGGTGGTGGCACGAGGGTGGCACAAGCCCCAAACGTAAGTAGTACTCTGTAAGTAGTACTTTTTGACACACCCCAAACGTTGGAGCCATTCTGGGGTAGGATATCCTGGATAAAAGGAATTTGGACCATGGCATGTCAACCACTCACTGTGTCAGGAGCTCTTCCATGCTGCAGCTGTCCTCGATGGAAATGAGGCGCTGGCAATGCATTGCTCCGCGGATGGTGTGCGCCGGGGGATATATAATATGTGCGTTTTCCACTGACATGGTCCGTGATCTTTGGCAAAATCACTTCGTATTGCAGGTCAGGGCGAGTGAAAGTGCTGAAGTGAACTGATTCGTGAAAAGAAGAAGCACCCTCCTCCATCCCCCACAAGGTCGGGGTGACATGTTCATCTTGGGGCAGGATCTACCTGCCGAAGGTGGTATACGGTTTGCTGGCTCCACACCGAAGGGGTTGGAAATCACAGGGCTGTGAGTCAAATCCCGGAAATCTCCCCGTGGGGAACTTCTCCTCCCGTATGTACTCTATTCTTTGACCGGGGGTTAGGCACAGGGTGCATGGGTTTTGACCTACACCCACATCTTGTGGACAACTCACTAACTCTCTCTCTCTCTTTTTTTTGTTCTCTCTCTCTCTCCGATGAGTCTCTTCGGATGTTGTTTGGAAATTTTGATGTCAGACTAATCTTTGAGTCATATCAATTTGAGCCATGAACATCCATGAGCCATGACATGAGCCAGCCATGGGCCTTTGGCCTCTCACGGTCAAACAGGCCGTCGTCTGTTTGACCTGTCCGCCCGCTTGTTGAGCACGAATCCGGCGCCCGCATGTGCCTGCATGCGCCCGCCTTGGCCGCGTCTGCGAGACCCCGCAACGTAAATCCGGTGTTTGGCTCTGAGCCGTCTCTTAACTTCTAAACCCAGAAACCAAGGGAGAGGCCAAATCACACAGAAAGATGTGCCTTCCCATCTCGTCCGTGGGACTCACCCCCGTTCGTGGCAGGTCCCACACCATGAGCCCGGGCGCCCAAAGCGGATGACCTTGGACGTCAAGCCTTGGACGTCAAGTCGCGTGAGTCGTACACACTGGAAGAGATGTGTAAAACTACCAGGACGAAACGTGCTGTAATGAACAACATGTTTGACGTGAAGAAAACAGGGACATGACTCATTGAATGGGCTGAATTTATATCACATGTACCCCTATGAACCAAAGCACTCGTTAAACTGGTCCTTAACTAAAGGCCTACTTTTACTTTTGAAAGAACGTACTTTACTTTGTCTAATCACGACTCCATTAACATGCTAGCACAGGATTTGCATGAGTGTTCATACGTTTTGCAGGTGGTCATGGCATGTTCAAGCTGAATTTTTGCAGCTGGTCGGCATCATGCATGTCCGACATATGAAAAACATGCATGGATAGAAGGATCCATTGATAAACATGGATAGATCACTGATCAACTGTCTAGATTCCATGAATATAATAACATCATAGCACCACATCCCCGCCCTTCGTTGCCCTGTCGTTTTGGCCTCGCGCATGGATGAAACGCGCTCTTGGGAAGAGACTCTCGGCTAGCATCTGGTGATAAAGCTACAGTTTTTGAGGGCTTTTGGGGCTGGATTGCCAGCACTTCCCTGCAACAAGGAGCCTACGAGAAGAGAGTGGAGGTCGTGTCGGATGAAGAAGGTGCCTTTGGCATGGATTTGGGGACAATTCGTGTGTGCAACACGTTCCCTACAAGTCCAAAGACCCAGTAAAGCCTCCTTAATTATTGGTTTTGTGTGACCAGCCCCAGTAAAATGAGGTCTTTGACTTGTAGGGACGTTGGATTGGACGATGTATGTTCGCAGGCTACTGCTCATGCGAGCGGTTCATAATCATGAGACAATTTACGCTAGCTGGGCCCCAAGTTGGCCCCAGTGCACTTGCAGCTGGAATTCCCGCAGCTGTGGTGGGTAGGATTTGAGCGAGGCACAGTGCATGCCCTCCTCAGAACTCTTGGGTGGCTGTTCCTTCAACCAAAATGTACTGTGAAGTACCACGTCCCACAATGGCAATTTCCTACGACTAGCTGTTGTCCTTTGGATTGCTGCCATGCCTGATTCCCGCCCGCGGGATGCAGTGGTGGATGTGCTGAAGGCTCGCTTTTTCATTGGCCTTTATGGCACTTCAAAAAATACGGCGCTTGAAATCATGATCCCTTTTTTTATGGGGTTCCTTCTGGCACAATACCCCCAGCACATGCACAGGAATTCTATAGAGATCGACTTGCTGATGGCTGGAAATGGATTCGGGTGGAGCGCCTTTGCAAAGAGAACAACATCCCGAACTATCGAATGATGCGTGACTTGAAGAAACATCGTGCAACTGGGCCCAAACTTATTTGGGATCTTGGGCTTGTTTGGACGTCCCACCACTGCGGTCCCACCACCCCACCACCCACCACTGCGAGGAAGCCCGGCTCACCTGCGCAGTGTGCAAGGGACAAAGTTCTTCACTAGGGGCAGGTTAGGAAGAGGATCTGGTTTATTTCTGGTTGTCTTTTTTCTTTTGGCAGGTTGGAGTACCAATTTCTAGCTGGATGGAATCCACCTGGACTTCCGCTGAACAAATTTGTTTCAGCTGTTCGGTCACCTGGTCAAGGGATGGAATCCACCTGGACTCCTGAGCTGAACAAATTTCAGCTGTTCCCAATGTGGGGGAGGGCGTACTCCAAAAGGGGTCACCCGGCCAATGAACCTAATCGAAAATACAAATTCTGTTCAAACAGGTGCCAGCTAGTGCCACTGCTAAGATGCCATGCAATTTCAGCTTCGTTGACGTGGACAAGAAGGGCGTCACTGGAAAGGGGCTGAGGGGCGACACCAACTTCGTGTTCTTGCTGGACTGGCTGGGTGTCTTCGGCTTCAACAGAACAACTTCCAAAGAAGTGTCCGTTCCATGGATCAATTCATGGGAGGCTTTTTGCATTGACGCGGGCCGGCTTGCACCGACAGAGGGTCAACGAATTTACAGCCACTTTGGACTGTACATGCAGACCATTTCCACAAAGAACTCCTGGGACTAGTACTCATATATTGCACATTGGATGCACGGTACATGCGCAATGGGGTGATTGGACTGTCGTGTATGCTCAGGCTGACCCTGATCAATGGGTACTTCGGTGGAACACCGGATCAAGTGAGTATCTCGGAGCTTTTGCGTGTGGCTTACGAGGACTTTACATCTTGGAGGAAGTCAAAGAAGATTCCTTGCTCGCAGCGGATGTTCAAAGCATCGCAGGTGGATCGTTTGGCCCACGGGGCCTTCTGGCTGCGAAGGCATGGAATTCCAGAATACTTCTCCAATGGCTTCATGAGAGTGCAGTTCAGGCTGCCACGTTGCAGAATTTCGATAGCGCTGGAGGGCGCATGTTGGGGGTATGGCTGGCTGAGGAGGTTCGCGCAGGTTGCAGGGCATGGCCTACTCCAAGTGACACCCCATTCTTGTTTTTGGAGCCATTGGCGTGGCAAAGTGTCAAGCGTACTGATTTTTGTCATGCTTCATCCCAGGCATGCATGCTAGGGGCTCCTGGCATCGCTACTAGGGGCTGAAGGACGCTACTTGGTGGGCTCTGTGAGTGTGGGTGAGGTCATTTTCGGTGCGTGCTTTATCCTAGGCATGCACTATGTACTTGGTATGGGCTCTGTGAGCGCGCTGGAAGGATCTTGCAACTTGGCTGCAATATATTGATCGATCGATATTCCATACAGCCGCTTTCCGATCACATTGCATGAGCAGTGTCTGTGAGTTTTGCCAGTAGTGGCCATGCACATGCAGATTTGAGGACCGCTGCAGAGGCCCAAGCCATTCATGATGCGGGGCTGTCCTTTTGCAGATTGCACCTCATGCTGACAAGGCTAGCTATCAGGCAAGAGGATTGTTCAGATCGTTCTTCAAGTCCTCGAAGTTTACTGGCGCTAGTTCGTGGTCGAAGGTCTCAGGTTTTCAGTGCTACGATGCTCTTACTTGTGTGGGTGAAAAGAAATCGCTCTTAATACGTCTGCAAGATTGCAGCAAAACATGTGCATTAGGCCGAACACTTTTTCAAGAGTTGGAACGATATAGAGGCCCACCCAGACCTGATGGCAATGGGTATACATGCAAATTTGTTTTGAAGTTCTTCTGCCAGAACAAGGGAACTCGTGGGAGGGACACTAATGGCAGACTGTGTCCATAGATTTTCATTGATTTGGATTGAAAATAATTGATTCAATTTTTTCAATGAAAATCAATGAAAATCAATTAACACTGATTAGTATGGGCTGGAAGAAGACTTCTGTGCTAATTCCATGTCTACTCAAAAGGGTTCCCTCTAATGCTGTGAGCCATAGATGGAGCTACTAGAATCATGGTTTTCACTAAGAATGGGCAGGGTAGGGCTTTGCTGGCTTGACGTGAGCCTGGCCTTTGCAGCCTGATTTTGCACAGGGTAGTAGACCAGTTGGCTGAACTCCAGTGCTGTGAGTGGCCATGGGTGGAGGAAGCCACAGGAAGAAGAAGAAGCAGTTCAGCTGCAAATGTTGTAGCCAATGTGATGCTTCCAAGCAGTCTTTAATAAAATCACATGTTTTATTTTTGGCCTTTGTTTGTCCAGAGGGTGCAACTTGTGCAAAGGCATCACTCCAGGTCACCTCCCTCTGACAGGAGGCAACTTGACCAAAATTGGCAGTGCAACAAGCAGGGCAACCAACAGAGGCACCACAACAAACATTGCAGGCAACAGAGGCAGCACAACCAGCAGGGCAGCCAGCAAAGGGATCACAACAAGCAGGGCAAGCAACAGAGGCATCACAACATACAGGGCAGGAAACAGAACCACAAGCAGGACAACCAGCAGAAGCAGCTCCAGTAGCAGCAGCTGCACATGACCCTCCTTTGACAGTGCCTGGGAGTTTTCAATGTTTGTTTTCCTATTTATTTGTAATATTTTTGTTCTCTTGGCAGTGTGGTTTCTGTTTTAGAGTGGGACAGCTTCACCAGAGGAAGGGGCGACTAAAGCAAGAGCTGCTGGTGGTGGAGGACCAAAACTGCATTCCACACCATCTTTGCTATCTGAGCTGGAAGGTCCAGGGTTCAAGTTCATTCTGAACCACAAGGGTCACAGATTTACTGTGAATTTTGGGAAGAAGTGTGGGACCAGTGCTCACTGGATTGGGCAATGTGCCCAACATTCTTTTAGCAGGTCATTTGACAAAAATAGTGCTTCAGATTGGATTTCCAAATTGAAGCAATGCCATGACTGGGCATGGCAGAAATGGTCCCTTGGATTGGATCTTCAAGAACTACACCCACCTGATGTGGTGGGGCAAGAGCCTGGTCAAGTTTCAGATGCTTTGATTGATAGGCTTGAACAAGCCATCTCAGAGCTTCCAGCCAAGACCCAATACACCAGGAAATGAGAATGGAAAAAGATTGCATGGGGTACTTGCTGCTGATGTTGTGTTGTTGTTTCTGGATGTGTTTTTTTCCAATTTGTGTTGTTCTTTCTGGAGATGTTTCCAATTTTTTTTAATGAAGTTCAATTTTCTATGTCAATTTTTTCAATGAAGTTCAATTTTCTATGTCAATGTTTTCTTATGTTTTCAATTATTTTCAATTAGGATCAATGAGATTCAATTATGTTCAATTATGCTATATAGCTGGGACAATAGGTGAATAGTATCCCTCTGATTAGTGTCCAACATGAGATGATTGAGAAGTGCGCAGGCAGCAGCGAGTGGCATGGTTGCTGAAACCGAAGCTTCACATGTACAAGCATGTCATCAAACGAACGCTGCATTGGCGAGTCTTGGCTTAACTGGATGCTGATTTCAAGCTTGGTGTTGAGATCTCATGAGCTATTTGCCAAAAAGTGAGACCTGCTGAAGGTCACAATTCACGCCACTGGTCCTGCTTTAGCGAAGAAGATTCGATTGGAGTCCTGAAACACGTTGCTCGTCATGTATCTGGTGCTCAGAGCGAGCAGTATCTCTGCAAAATTGCCCGGCTCAGGCCCTGTGAACGATCAAATTGTGTACAATTCATGTGCATTTGCTTGTGAGTATGCATGAAAATATACTTCGAAGTATATATACGCATATGCAGATATCAACTGCTGGCCAGGCTGAAAGTAGCCAAGAAACGGATGAGAAGGACCTACAATTTGCTGCAAAAGTAGCAGTTGCAAACTGATGTTGAATTTGAGACTATTTTTGCAAGATTGTGTTAAGATTTTGTCGGCTTTTGCTGCAGGATTGACATGGTCGCAGCCTGGAATCGATGAGAAGTGGAGCTTGCTCGGAGAGAGTGCCAGAAAAGTGATCGGAAAGCGGCCGGTTAGTGAAAGTAGTCCGCGATCGCATGGTACACGTTAAACTAGTCTCCCGGGTCCGCAGGGTACATTTATATACAGTTATATGGCTTTTGTGTGCGGTCTCTAGAGTATAGTCGCTGGCAGTTCTGTATGCATGCGCTCTTCAACCAATGGTCCTGGTGATACATCCGGTGAATCACGGATGATGAGATGCGGTGCCGATGTTTTGGGGGACGTAGGCCCACATACCAGGGACCACCCATGCTTATAACACACCAGGACGCGAAGCACCACACCTCTTATTACACCACTGGGAAGGGCAATACTGACCAGTCCATTCCCATGGTCCGTTGGGGGACATTCATTTTATCTATCTTATAGAACCCGTACGTACGACAGAATTGTCAAACAGGTGGACACGAACCGTTTTTAGTTTGAAGTAGATGGTAAGACTTTACAATCAGCACAGGGGGTTGCAAATTAAGATCATAATAGATTATTTATATATATATATATGTATATTATGAGCTTATAATGATATCATATATAGAGAACCCTAGCAAGATACCCTGTGTCTATACCCCCATATATAGTAGCACACAGCGCGACACGCCTCAAGCTGCCACCATTGAAAGGGATGCCAATGTGAAACAGAATCGCCGGAATCGCCATGATAATTCTTGCTGGGATGAGCCAGATTGAGATCACTTGCTAGCAAACATATTACATACATGCATGATCATGCATGTCTCATGTTGTTCTGCGTCTCATCCAACGAAGGACACCGATGCCTGGACCGTTTCCGCTGAACCGCCCAGGGCGCCTCTCCAGGCGCTGGAAGCACGCCCCAGCCCCGAGACCCCGAGACCGACCGAACTCGGCGAACTCGGTGGGTGTGGAAAACGGTGGTTGAAAGTTGTTGCAACATCTTGTTAAAGTTTTTGCAACATGGTGGCAGACAAGTGTTGTTGAAGAGTTTGCAGAATCTTCATTGTGGCGCCTTTGACCAGTTGTACATGTTACAAGTATTTACAACTGTTACGTTTGCAGTAGTTGTATAATACATGTTTACGGCCGTACTGGTAGTCGAAGACTGGAGTGTTTGAAGGTCAAGGCAGGATGATGATCATAGAGTTGAAATATGGGACCTGCAAAAGGATGGCGAGAATGGTTCTGTAATATATGCACTGCTACATGGGATTGGGCTACAGTGCCAGACATGTCACTTTGGTGATCAAGAATGATCAGAGTTGTGAGTAATGCCCCTCAATTCTTGGATTGTGATTTCAATGTGTCGAATCAATCCATTATGAAATCACCACTGCGGGTGCGCGCAGATACTTTTGCCATCCTTTGCCCCATGGTTCTTGTGATTCGCCCGCCACAAAATGAGTACTCTAATTTGCTAGATTGTGAGATGCCTTTGTGCCAAAGCTCACTCTTTGCAGAACAAACCCGCGTGGTGTGAAAAAAGAACCGACCCAAATCCTCCCAAACCCACCACTGTTAGGGTTGAAACATGTCGAAACCGACCACTGCGGTCGGGGTGGTCCGAGGTTCGGTTGTCTCCAACGGCCCAGGCACATCCTGCTTGGTCCGAGCCCTGTAGGCCAGGCGAGATGTCGAGTGGAGCATCAACGGGCATCGCGACGAGCACACGGAGCGATCGGAAGCGACGAGCACACGGGGCTCCTGGCCTTACTAGGAACAAGGACGCTACTATAGGAGTTTTTTCCTTTGGGGCATTCGTTTTGTTCACGTGACCTGGACCTTGGTGTTCAGCCGTCCCCAGGCAGCTTCCCTTGGCTGAACGCCCCAGCTGCGAGCGCCAGGCGCCAAATGGGCGCTCCGCGGGACTCGGGGGACCACTGTTCCAGCAACGAAGTGGTCACTGGGTGGTTCTTTTCAACCGGCTTATTTATGGATATGTCAATTGAACTAGGAGCAAGGACACTACTAGGGGCTCCTGGCCATACTACTAGGACTACTACTAGGAGCAAGAAGCTACTAGGAGCAAAGGGCATCGCTACTAGGAGCAAGGAGTCTACCTTTGGTTTCTAGAAGTTTCAGATACTCTTACTTTTGGCCTTTACTTGGGATGACTGATCCCACTGACCAATATTTTTTCCCAGTGGGTTGAAACTACAAGCGAACGGGTCAGAATCGGCCGTTTGTGTGTTCCACGGTCGGCAGCGGTGACTCGTGACTCGTGAGACCGGACAAAAGCATCCCGATGCCCTTGTTACTAGTAGCTTCTTGCTACTATTACTAGTAGCTTCTTATTACTACTAGTAAGGCACCTGTTACTAGTAGCG